ACACTTTGGGTCCTGTCACTGGATCTAACTAATGCCTTTATCCACTGTGCCATGTGTCCTTGAGGATAGAGGCATTAGTTAGATCCAGTGACAGGACCCAAAGAGTGGGAGTTCAATACCCAGTCAAAGCAGTGGAGAACTTGGAGAGGGGAATTACCAGGAGATAACTGATAACTAATATCCATTAAACATGGCACGTGGAACTAGAACAGTCTACCCCAGTGAGAGAAATAAAGTGTTCAGTTTGACATTCCAACCACCTGAAGAAGGCTGGAGTGTATAACGATTGAAACATTATAATAAATATGGCGACAAAGATGAGGACAATAGTCCGAATAATGTAAATAGTGGACCAGACTATTTTTAAGAAGTCTATTTTTTTGAAGTACAAGCAAAAAAAAATTGAAGGTTAATAATTATTCATCTTAAATGAAGAATAAATGGATATATACTTTTATTAATTTATAGAATTTTTTGTTTTGTACTTTAATTAAAAAAATGAATATATCCATTTGTTCTTTACTTAAAAGGAATGCATTCATAAAAAAAAAGTCTGTTTTTGTACAGCTAAGTCTAGAAAACTTGCTTTTTCCGAAGTTTGGATAAAATATTGTGTTCCTGTATTAACTCTTTGGGACTGTTGGGGAATTCTCAAAGAGTCATTTCCAAAAATGGAAAATTCAAAGACTCATCGACATCTGCAATCATTTATATTTTCTTATGTAATTTTTACAATATAAGAGAGTCAAAAACAAGGTTAAAGTTTGATTATTACAAGATTGAAATAAATACACCTTGGGGAGTAAAAATTGAATTAAAAGACTTAGGGAGTTAAAAAAAAAAAAAAAAAATTGAAAAAATTTAATTTTATAAAAAATAAATATTTTTTTTTTTTTAAATGAAAATATTAAATTAGAAATATAAAACAGACATTGATAAAAATTTGTTTTTCAAAAACCTGATCTAGTTAACATTTTATTTAAACATTATGGATAATAGGATGGTATTAATTTTTCTGTTGAAAAGCTGGCCTTCTAGCAACGTTTGTTTTCCTTGAAATTTAATTTAAAAAAAAAAATACTTTTTAAAACGTGTAGGAAAAAAAAAAATGATAATGGTGTCAAAAAATTTAAATAATTTTTATGATGGAACTGGTCAAATATTAACCAAATGATATATTGGCTTTTTTCATTTTTTATACAAAAGAAAAATAGACAAAACAAAAAATTATAAACAAATTTTCTGCAAAAAAAAAAAAGAAAAAGATATTTATCATGCAATGAAGAAAATGTTTAATAAAAAGCGAAATATAATAAAAGAAATGAAAAACATTTTTTCAGATACGTCAATAAAAAATGACAACAAGCATATAAGCATTGAAAAGAGATTGTTTTTAAGATTTAAGTAGAAAATGACTATGCCAAGCCAACAAAGCCTTTCACGATACAAGACTGTGTCAGAACAAACATGTCAACATACAAAATCATGTAATAAAACAAAAAATTATCAAAGAATTGGTGAAAATAATTTATTAAGAATATTTCATGTGTAATTCAAATTGCTGTCCTAAGTTTTAAAATTGGATAAAAGCAAATCCAAAATATTTTTTAAGTAAGGGAAAATGGCTGTAAAGAATTTAAAAAGTGAAATTATACAAATCAAAAATGTTTTATAAATAATTTTTAGCTAAAATTGCCTGTAATCATTGATAAGGCTTAAAAAAAAAAAAAAAAAAATCTTTCTAGGTGGTAAAAATAAAAATATATTTTATAGATAATCTTCCCAGGGTTACTGAAAGCACACTGGATCCAAATCTCAGGCCTTATCATTTCTTTCTACTCCCTGACTGATCATATCTTCAAGGGTGTAGCCGTTTTCATCACCATGCTTAGCCAGTTGTTGGTTGGTGAGGCTAATTCACCCATAGTTAGAGGTTTTGAATTCAGAGTTGTCCTTCTCCTAGACCAGTAGTCATCCAAGGCTATAGGACCCAGTCTACCCAGCTATTTACCCATAGATAAATATTCAGTTAGAAATATCTGTAACCTGCAAGTACAGAGGAGAGTGGGGAGGTTTAAAAAAAAAAAACTCTTAAAATAAATAAATAAAATATTTTATAAATAATATTATTTTAGAAATGTCTATAACCAATAAGGGATGGTCTTTAAAAAAAAAAAAACCTCTTTAAACTGCATAAAAAAAAAAGGTTTATAAATAATATTCATTTAGAAATCAATGCAGACATTTCTATTTTTTTAATTATATATTTTTTCAAGGTTATTTAAAGTCAGAAAATATTTTTAGATTGTAAGAATTTTTTTTGGCGATAATGATTTACTGATACAAATCATACTAATTAATCCATAGGTGGGGGGGAAAGAGGTGGATTCATACCTTTCCCTGAAGGTATTTGCCTGTAAGTAAATATAACAAACCTCACTGAAATTAGAACTCAGTGCTCTGATTTCCAATTCCAAGCACCACCACACTCGCATCAAAGCTTCCAGCACTTGGTATTTCCAAGTGGTCACCAATCTACATACTGACCAAGCTCGACATCGCTTAACTTCAATAATTGCATGAGAACTGGTGTTACAATGTGATATGGCTGTAAGGTGAAGGTGCTTAAAAAAAATTAAAATCACCCTTTTTTGTGGTGGTCCCAGAGAGCAGGGTAAACACTCAGCTTGTTTTATGTTCCATGACAGTTAAATCTCTCACCCACATCCAAATGTATGGCTGGCAGTATGAATGGATGGTACTGGAATCATGCAGTGGACAAGTCTGTCTCCTGCCAAGGCCGAACCAGATCAGTAACTACCAGATCCCAAGCATGATTGTTAATATGATCCAGCATCCAGAAATAATCAATCTCTGGCTTATCATCACTGTCTCCAAAAACCCCTCATCCACTCCTTTACTTCTCCATTCCTCTTCAGTTGAAGTGTATGCCACTTAGAAAACCAGACAACAAAAAAAGAACCATCTGGCTATAAAACAGAAACACTTGAGATCGAGATAAAACCGCCTTCACCCTTTGTATGTGGGTGTCCATTGTATCACATAAAGCCCAAGAGCCACTCAAAGTAGATTACTACTGAATGAGGTATATGACAAGAATGTTAGAAGCGGAAGTCGGAAGTGTGTGGATAGAGGGGATAGATAATAATTAAAATTCAAAGAAGCATCCACACAAGTGTCTGTTCCACCAAGTAGCAGTTCTTTGGTAAGAGCTGTCTCAGTAGAACTTCCTCCTTACTAATGGAATACAGAATTAATAAGGGTGATTCAACCTTGTGGACGTTAGCTGTAATGACCTGAGATAGTGATACTAAAGAATAGGGCCCATCTAAACATTTGCCATGGAAATAGAGTAATGATAGGCTTGCAATGTCGGTTTTCATAGTATGAGAGTAACATGGGAGAAGACATCTATAACTGTATATTATTTGTAAGTACATAAGAATTTGATTGGGATATTTACTATTATTACCTGCGGAATTTAGTTGTCATTAATTCTGACTTGATGGATTTACAATGCTTTAACGTACTGCATTCAAATCTAGATGCTTAGAAATTTATTTATTTACAGCCTATATAGCTGTCACTGTCGATGCAAGATTAGTGACCTTTTGGTATTTTAACCAGCTTGCTGACATGGATACTTTAATGACATTAACTCTGGATTTTCCCCGATAAGGAATCTGATGAAAATAAAAAGTCCTTATTTCAATGCAGATAAGCAATGGATATGAAATATTTTCTGTCTGGATTTCTGGGATGAGGATTTATTATTTCGGCCATTGAACACTCCAGCCTTCTTCCAATCACCTGAAGAAGGTCAGAATGTAGAACGGTCGAAACGTTGTGAATATGGCAATGAAGATGAGGATAATAGTCCAAATTATGTAAATAATGTAAATAAATACGCCGTAAAGTAAGTAAAGAATCTGTTGTGCTTTGGGGGAAACACTGCTCTCCCAACAACTATGGGGATATTAGGGTGAGAGGGGAAAGAGATGGGAGGTAATAAAAAATAACACTGCCTCAGCAACTTGAGGAACAAAATAACCACGGGACCAACTTCACAGACACTGTGTCTTCCTAACTGCCGACTGCTGTTTCCCCCTGCTTTTATAGGCATGAAGCATGTTACAAAGATCCAGATCTTTACCAGTTGCAGAGAGGCCTGTATCTAGCTAGACATGCCAAACTGTCCCGCTGCCAATGGGAAAACCTGAATGTAGCTCGTAGAATATTGGTTAGCTTGCAAGTGGTCTGACACACAAGTAGTCAGGTGTAGTCACTTCAAGTTGAACCCCACTGAGTGATTTGATGGAGAGATATTGTGGGGAAAATTGTGAAAATGGCTTACCTCGGAAACACCTACGAATCTGTGCGGTGTGCAAACTTCAGTTCTCCAGTGGTAAAAGGAACCAAAATGGCGGTGACCATATTTTATGCCAGGTGGTCTCGGTTAGTTAACGCGAAATCTCGTTGTCTCGTCATTCGCATGCAAATCATGGTCGGTCCTCAGCTGTATAAAGCAGGCGCATTTTGCTGTTTCGGAGGAGAGAGCTTTCGGCTCGTGAGAAGGTTGGATGTACGACACCGGGGTTTTTTTTGGGTCACCCTCCTCACGGTTCTTTGTTCCTACCTGCTATCATCAGTTGAGTTGTTGCGTTACCTCCCACAGATATATTGGCAAATAGAGTCCACTCATGCAAATGTGTTGGGCAGATCCATTCTAGTAGACTAACCCACCTGCTGTATTAGGTACTCTCTAATAAATGAGGTAGAATAGCTGGCCTGCTTTTACAAGATGACACAAGGAGGCAGCCATGTTCTACATAGCTTCTACATAGCTAATGTTGACAAACATGTCTGAACACAATCCGAGGCTTCTTTTGCATCTGTACTGACACGCGTTTGCCATAAAATATGAAATATCTTATACCATGGACAAAACATGTGTATAATTGGGAAGCTTTAAGAAAAATGTGAACAAACAGGACACGCAATGAAGATGGAGCGCTTGGATAGTTTTGAACACACTGATGACAAAAAGGAGCAGAAGGGAACATCAAGTAACATATATAATTAACTTTTGTAAATGTATGGCCGAACAAGGACTAGGAGGGATATCAAGGGGACAAAAGTTGCTTAAGACTAAAAAAAGATAGGAAATTGTGGAGAGCTATGATCACCTACATCCTTGAGGCATGTAAAAGAAGAAACAGTTTTAAATAAAATGGGAACAAAAAGGACATGTACTTTGGAGTTGTAATGAGATAGATGAAATTTCATGGACACATAATGTAGAAAGAGGACTTGGAGAATTTAACACTCACAGGTAATATAGAAAAATTTTTTTTTATATAAATGGATAGTAGACCAGGGAGGGATGATCAAGGGATTAACACGCCTCAAAGCTACAAAGGATAGAAAGCTGTGGAGAGCCATGATTACCCATATCCTGAAGGGTCATTGCTCATAAAAGATGATGTTGATGAAATATATAGATATTACAAATTGAAACTGCACAGAAAATGTGAGCAAAAAGAACGCTTGTACTTCAGAGTTAAAAAGAGACAAGTGAAATTTCTCGGACACATAATGAAGAAAGAGACGTTAGAGAATTTTTACTCTCACAGGAAATACTGAAGGCAAGATGGGCAGAGGTTTGGTTTGATTTGTTTTGTTTTGTTTTATGGGATATCAACCTCAATGGGTTATTTAATGCCGACAAAATTTTTATTGCTGGTAATATGTTTTTCTTCAAAAATCTATTTCTGGGAATATTTTTCCTTGAAGAAATCTATAGCTGGTCATATTTTTTTTCAAAAAATGTATAGCTGTTTTTATTGCTGGTATTTTTTTTCTTTTTTTCAAAAGCATCGCTGATAATAATTTTTCCTTCAAAAATTATTGCTGGTGATATTTTTTTTATTACAAAGTATTTCTGGTATTAAAACCTATTTTTACACAAGTTTGGGTGCTAACTATTTGCCCATAGCTGGGACCCTAACAGGTGCTACCACCCCAGGTCAGGGGGGTTCCACACTCCTCAAGACCTCATCAGAGGTTTTTGCTGTTGGACATAGTTTATTGTCTTACCCAGGACACGGATGTAATTTACCATCATACCCAGGACAAAGATGGGCAGAGGGAAACAGCAAGTAATGTACCTAACAAGTTTATGTAAACGAGCAGCAGAACATTGACGATAAGGGGACAAATGTGCCTCAGAGCTACAAAGGAAAGAAACAGTGGAGAGCCATGTTCAGGTGTGTGCTGAAGAGACATGGTTCATCAAAAGATGATGATGAAATATCTTAAAACTAGGATGAAATCAGACAACTTGTGTAGTTGAGATGGCGCTAACCCGACGACTCGCCAGGTTGAGACGGCGCTAACTTGACGAATGCCAAGTTGAGATGGCTAAACTGATTAACAAGTGAGTTGTCTTGTCTGTGGCACTAAACTGAAAACTTGTTTATTTTATCCATGACAGCAAACAGGTTTTAACAAGCAGAAAAAGGTATTTTCTGGCACCTTGACATCTACAGAAGTTAATAAGTGATTACGCAGAAAATTGCTGTAGCATTGTGGAAAATACAAATAATCTGATAGAGTGCTTATGGTTGGCACGAAACTAATATTGAACAAAATGCAGGAAAATAACAACTGAAACTAATTTATGCGATAAGCATTGGTTATTAAGGTGGAGATGATTGAAAGTCAAAAGAGAGGACTTACCTGCCGAGGAACTTTTTGAAACCTTTCCATCTACCACTGTCAGTGTGATGTAAACGGTTTCGACTGTTGCCATAGTGACCGCATCCTTCGTCATCTGTAACCACTTCCGATTGGGCTAGTAAGAAGATGACAAAAAAAGACAATGAATTTCATCAAGATGCAAACATTTCATTCATTATATATATATATATATATATACTAACTTAAAAAAAACCACCCTATCAGGTGGTATTTAAGCAAGCTCCAGCAGAGGGCTCATGATTAGGCTTTCATCACAATAGGTAGGGAGGAGTAGAACTCAAAATTGATCGCAGCATTTAAGTATCGCATTAATATTTAAGCTTACCTTTTAAGAATTCAACAATAATTCTGCTGCTGCCACTAAATTTAAAGGCAATTTGATGTACATAGGTCCTTTCTGCACAAAAAATTATTTTTATTTCATGGGTGACTTTTGCTGCATTTTGCAATTAATTTCAATTAATCCCAAATTTATTTCCAAGTTATAAAAATTGTTATCATGCAAAAAGATTTGTCACAAAAATCACATAAAAAAATTGCCAAAAAAAAAAAAAAAAAATCACATTAATGAAAACTGGGAAATCCAAAATTTTAGGACTGTGGGTCTGAATCCGGCCCAGAATGTTTTTAATTTACTCACTGAGTCGGCCTGATTTCAAAATGGTATGATATGTTGGGCTACAGCCGCTAGGAGTAAAGTTAAAAGTGTGTGACACCGACATTCATGATGTGTATATACTTCTGAGATCAGGTATGGTAATTATTGACATTGTTCAGACAGTTGTCCTTTATTTTGTTATATTCATGACATCTCGGTTGTTATATGCTTCGGC